AATTAGATGAAATAGGTGTATTCTGACAGGAAATAAGCCCATTCAATTGCTCGAATCAAGAAATCCGTTTGGTCATATATTTGAATGTCGTTGATGAGTATGGAACGTCATGCAAGTTGATCGTGGTGGTATTGATATCATAACTAAGCAATGCTCAAGTAAAAATACACACTAATGAAATCGCTATGCTGTAGTTATGCTCACAATGATTGTCGTTCAGAAATGAGTTTGACCCATACATTTGTGAGCGTCAACGAGTGTTACATGCATACACTACACACTCTAAATATATGCCACACTCATTGTCGCTCACAAATGTATGGGTCACACTCATTTCTGAACGACAATCAGTGTAAGCATAACTACAGCATAGCGATTTTATTAGCGTGAGTTTTTACTTGAGCATTGCTTAGTTATTGACATTGTAGTATTGTACTTAGTTATTGACATGTAGACAACAACGCGATGTTCGGTCCGAGCAAAGTTTATTTTTTATTTCAAAATCTCCCGAATAAAATTGGTATTACTATGAAAAATTATAATAGAAGCTAATAAAAGCATGAGCTGTAACGATTACATTATAAATTTGATCAATACATCGAATTTTCTGATGTAAAAAATTTTTGTTTGGACCGAACATCGAACAAAATGAATGTCGAATGAACGAACGAACAAAAAATATTTTTTTTAAATTGTCGAACGAACGAACGAACAAAACCTTTTTTTAAAACCATGTCGAACGCACGAACGAACAAGCGTTCGAAAGTGTTCGACGGCCAACACTAGATGCGCGCTCATGATTTTTGGTACATAAACCTTTACCCAGTAGCTCAATTATAATCATGTGTAATATTCAATTACTATATTGATTTCAAGCGTAAAACACTGCTTCTTTTTTTCTTCTTCTTCTTCTTCTTCTATTCTCCTTATGTGTGTTATGAAATTTTCGGAGAGAGTTATCAAAATGAGTCTTTGTGCGCAGCAACTGCAGTCGCAGCAACAGTAGCAAAAGTATCTGTGGTGTTTAATTGAATTGCACTTAATTGATACATTTATTTGCTCAGAATTGCGTGGCAATTTCGTGCGATTTGGCGCCAATATTGTTCTGTCAATAAATCGCTGGAGTAGAGAGATGCTAGTTAGTAACTGTTCCATTACGGGTATAGATTCAAAATCATCTACCATAGTACTTGATGTAGTTGAGGGGGACGCCATAGACTCTCACTTTTCTAATTGATTTTCTATTAAATGTATGCCACACACAAACAATAATAATCCGTAGCCCGTTCATTCCAGTTTGTTACTATGGAAATTGCGATGATCATGATGCTGAACAGAAGAAGAAGAAAAAACAACACGAACACGCATTCATAATGGGTTTTCGATATCGGTCATTTATTTGGATAAGAGTAGTAGTTTTTTTTCTCTGCTTCTCTTGGTGTTTAAGAGTTTCGATCAAAATGCTTCACGTTTGAGAACTCTTTTGTGATCAAATCTCTACCCCTTCATTATTATGTCCAAAATAATGTATCGACTATATATCGTTGATGAATGAAATGTAATTGAAAATAATACACGTGTTGATCTATTTATTCAATAACCCACAAGCCACAGATATTATTTGTTGATAACAAACTAATCTAATTTATTGACTTGCTCGATTGCCCTTCTCTACGTTTCAGGCTCATAAAAAATGTGATGATATATGTCAATAGAATTTCGTTTCAACTGGAAATTAAATGTGATAGAATGTTGTCATCGCGGAATCTATATTACATGTTAATTCACTATATTACGCACGAACATTTGGATAATCTGGTGATTTGCAACGTTTATTAAACGACGATTCACGGTCGGTTCTCATCTTCGAGTTTTGATGAGTGTTTTGTGCGAAATGATCCTTGGCCGATCATAAATCATATGGGGACCGTTAACCTCGAGCAAAAACACTTCAATTGAAATAAATACATTTGGACCAAGCACCTAATAAATACAATATATTTTAAGTTTTGTCGTCACACATTTGCAATATCCTCTAGAATATTCGCTTCGGTTTCAATCATGTATCCATCTAAACAATGCGATTTTAGATAAAACTATGCCAACAACAACCTACTTGATGAATTCCACTATCAGAAGAACAAGAAGAAAAAAAGAAGAAGAAGGAAGAAAAAGAAGATACAATTGTGTGATAAATTACCAAACGGTGACCGTGAATATCGACAAAGTTTATTCACATGTTTCTTCTGATATCAATATTAAGTGATCTATTAATATCTGCATATTTTGTTGATAATGATGAGTTAAATATCAAAAATACACCGAAATGAATGTTTTAAATCAGATAACAACGGGTATTTGAATAAATACCCGTGTGGAAAACAAATGACTGACTGACTGACTGACAACGTTTTTGTAATGGGTAATCACTTAAAAGTGATTAAGACTAGCTAAATCCAGTCGACTATGTCCCGAATTGATCGATTGGCTGCACAATTAGAATATTTCCAAACGGACATTTGTGGACGAGTTGCGATTTGGGCAATAGAATAATCCAGCCCACTTCAATACACTTTTTTTCAGGCATATGAACAGAATATTTCAGGCAGCATTTGGAAACAGAATAGAAAGTATCATATATGAAAAATGAGCAGCGACAACAGACAATAGAAATCAAATTAAATCCAGCCATAACATCGAGATAGGCACAAAGACAAAGAACTGAATGTGTCCGTGATGTGTGAATGAGTTATTGTGCAAAATGTTTAAGGACTCGTAAATATAACACATATTTAAATTGGCTAATAGCTTTATCTCTAAATACTTATTCGATTGTATGGCGGGGTTTAAAATTACGTACATACAATTGCGCTGCGCCAGAGACACACGAACACATTAATTGGTTAAATATGTCTTTAATTTTACAACCAGCACAAGAACAGAGAGATAAGTGAAAATTATCGGATAATGTACACACATCAAGTGTAACTCACTTCGACAAAATTTAAAGAAAAGAAAAATAAGAGACAAAACGACTGAAGCAGGAAAATAAAACATTAAAAAAACAGAGTACTGGAAATATAGTAGTAACATATACTACAATAGACTTTCATTCAAAATCTACCACATTCGATGGAATTAATTGGTAATTATTGACGTTAAACGGTGATTTGATTAGGTAATCCGAGCATTTTTCTGTTTCTCTTCCTATTTCGCTGATGAAATAGGCTGTACTCAGAACGACTAATACATATTGAGTATGTGTGTGTGTGTGTATGTGTGTGTGAGCCGGCGCGCATGTACGATCATCGTAAATCTAGAATTGGCTAAAAAAAATCAATCTTAACCAGCAAACCAAAAAAATATCTCTAATTGATAGGACGAAGGATCGCATTGGATATTTAATGGAATCCGAAACCGGCCAGAAATCAGTCAATAGACGTTGTGCCATCGCCTCAACTGCATCGCAATTTACTCGCTCGTGCCTACACTCTCAGCAAACAACAATAACAGCAGCGGCAGCTTTTTACAGCTCAATTAAAACACAAAAATTAAATCCGTTCATTTTCTTTTAGTGAACATTTTAATAACGTGCATGTCTTATGTGTGTGTATAAATTTTTACTGCAATCTTTCGGGAATATTTCGACTCATTACCGAGAATAGTATTTGGTCAACCGGTTTTTATTCGGTTGAACCTGTGCACAAGAACAGAGACCGTGTGAACTCGGAAAATTAAGGCAAAAACTAAGGAAGAGAAACGAAAACATTCGATATGGGGTGGTATAGTACGTTGACGCGTAAAAAGCCGATTAGTGATTCTTCGCCCACGAAATTGGCCAAAGTGTTGTCGGCCCTTGATTTAACGGCACTTGGCATCGGTAGTACGCTTGGAGTTGGTGTATATGTTCTGGCGGGTGAAGTGTCGAAAGAAAAGGCTGGACCGGCCGTCATTCTCAGTTTTATGATTGCGGCGATTGCAAGTGTTTTTGCGGGTTTATGCTATGCAGAATTTGGAGCCAAAGTACCTCGTGCAGGCTCGGCATACGTCTATTGCTATGTTACCATCGGAGAATTTATCGCATTTATCATCGGATGGAATTTGATTTTGGAATACTCGATAGGTAATAACACAAAATACTCATAATTTAAATATTTTCAATGACCAGTAGTGGGGAAAATTTAACGATTCCATTTCATTTGTTTCACCGATGTCATTCATTCAAAATTGTTTCTCTTGAAATTTGTTCAAAATCACGAACAAACGTGTTAGTTTAATCGCAGCACATTGACTTATTCAGCTGTGGATTTTGTATGATTTATTGTGTACTTGACGCATTGGATCTGTGGCAAGAAAGAGATAGAGCAGACGACACTGATGTCAGTTCAAAGTCATTTTCAAAAATACACAAAAATCCAAACATAATTTAATCAAAGCATGACACTTTTATTACGTTTAAGAGTAAAATCGAGACGATTCTTCGAATGTTTCGCTGATAATTATATATTTATTTATTTTTCAAAAATTTTCTATTTTTCTCCAGGTTCGGCGAGTGTGGTTAAAGGTTTGAGCACCTACGTCAATTCAATGACTGGTTTTCATGAAAAACTCATTGAAATTATGCCAATTAATATATCCGGACTTTCGGAGTTTCCCGACTTTTTTGCCTTCGGTGTAACGATTTTATTTTCATTGGCCATTGCGTTTGGCGCAAAGGAAAGTTCAATCGTAAACAATGTATTTACATTCCTCAATTTGGCCGTGGTTTTATTCGTAATCATTGCTGGAAGCCTCAAAGCCAATCCATCGAATTGGAATATACCAGCGGCTGAGGTGCCGTTGCCGAATCCAAACGAAACTACTGTTAAAGATTACGGTAGTGGTGGTTTTGTGCCATATGGTATTTCGGGTGTTTTGAAAGGAGCTGCCACTTGTTTTTACGGCTTTATTGGGTTCGATTGCATTGCAACGGCTGGTGAAGAAGCAAAAAATCCAAAACGTTCGTTGCCTGTTGCCATCGTTATTTCGTTGTTGGTCATATTCTTGGCATATTTTGGCATTTCAACCGTACTAACGATGATGTTACCCTATTATGCGCAAGATATAAACGCTCCATTGCCATATGTATTCGATTTTTATGGAATGACCGTGGCCAAATATGTTGTAACGATTGGAGCAACATTTGGTCTATGCGCCAGTTTGATGGGTTCAATATTCCCGTTGCCACGTATCGTTTACGCTATGTCAAATGATGGATTGATTTTCGAGTGGATGGGCCGCATTCATCCGCGATTCCAGACACCCATGTTGGGAACCCTATTTGTTGGAACATTGACCGGGCTTTTGGCGGCATTCTTCAACTTGTCTCAGCTGGTCAACATGATGTCGATCGGAACACTGATGGCATACTCAATTGTGGCCGCATGCGTTCTATTGTTGCGCTATGAAGTCGAAGATGAAAATGAAAAAATGCACGTTCCAGCACCATTTGGTCAAAATATCTTCCGTTTTCTGTGGAATTCGGACAATTTAAAAACACCCACCAAACTCACTTCATCCATTGTAACGTGGGAAGTTACGCTTTTCTGTAAGTATTTCACAATAATTTCGGAAATGCTTTGAACACTTCAAATCAATCGTTTTTTTCCCCCCTTAATTCCATAGGCTTCGTTTGCATTTTATTTGCGCTAATCATTGAAACATTGTCATATCAATTGTTGTGCTTTGTTTGGTGGGCGTGGACGTTGTTGGTGTGTGTTGGCTTCATTATGATACTAATTTTGGTATTGATCTCACGTCAACCGACCGCACGAATCTATGAAACATTCACCGTGCCATTTACGCCATGGTTGCCCGCCATCTCAATCATTATCAACATGTATCTAATGATGATGTTAGATATCATGACTTGGGTCAGATTTGGCATTTGGATTGCACTCGGGCTGGTAATTTATTTTTCGTATGGTTTGTGGAATAGTGTGGAACGTGCACGGTATCAGCAGAAAAATTTCATCAATAACAAACAAAACGAGGGCTGCATATTTACATGCAGCAAAGAGATTCTCGTTCCAACTGGACAATAGAAAAACCACAACAAAGAATAAGAGCCGAATGAAAATGATTGAACTGTTAATCTCGAATTTCAAGCAAATCCTGAAATGGATGCCATTGTACTTACGTATCTTTAAGACATATATAAGAAATATGAGAATAAAAAAAACAAAACCAAAACCCATTTTAATATCGATAAATAAAAACAAAGTAAAGTTTTTCACTCAAATGCGTCAATCGAAAAAAGTTTTATTTTTAGTTATTCCATCATATTTATCACGACTGAAGAAACATAATTCAAAAGAGTTCAAGATCGATCAAACTCGTGTGATACTTTCAATTTGAATTGGATTACAGTCCATTTACAAATCCAGTACATTCTATTACGATAACGCCACAAGATGAATTGTGAATACGGTGAGAAAACAATCACATCGATTTGCCAATCATATGTCACTTTGTCACTTGAAACAGTGTTCAGGTAACCGAATGAAAGCGCAGTTGAAGTATCGATTTCAAGTATTTGTTTCGCCTGACTGACTGTTTTATCGGTTTTTTTTCTGTTATTTACACAAAAGAATGCAAGCAATGGATTTAGAACACATTCCGATATAATCATACATCGAAAGTTCAAGCACTTCAATGGCAATAACAATCTTGAAATGCACTGTACACACGGTGATAACATTTTCGATGCGGCATGAGCGCAATAGTAGCTCGTTACTACGGCAGTGATGTGAATCATGACTCACATACACACAATGAAATGCGTGGAAATGCTGTAAATTAGCAACAATTGGAGGTATTTACAATTTCCGGAATTTCATATGGATGACGTCTTTCTCTCGGAATCAATTTATATTCTTATCATCAAGCTTCATTTTTATTTTGATTGCTATTGAGACAGATTTATAGCCCACTGGACGCTTACTGTGGCGTGTCATGGTTTTTCGGGGACAAATGATACACATGCTTCGAATCAAGACTGAAAATTTGACATTTTTCTTCAGCTCCAAAAACAACAATCACCAACCATTTCAACAGAAGTATGTGGTTTGGGTACTTGAACACCGTACGACAACTCAAGTGTCGCGAAAATTGATCGCCCGTTTGCGAAATTGACTTAAAATCTTGAACGCGACCATCAATGCATTGATTGCAATTTTATTTGTATTTCACAACAAATGATATGTGGAAATTTTAACTTGTTTCCCTTTGAAATCCATTTTCTAAACCAAACTATTACCATTAAATAACACAAAATCAATTTAAAATTAAAAGCATTTCTGCGTACAATTGTATTTAAGCAAATCGTATATAAATAAATCTTCGACTGGAATATTAGCATAATAATTGAACGTTTGACCTAAAACTAGAGAGAGAGAGAGAGAGAGAGAGAAATAACAGTTAGATCCAAAGTAAAATGCAAAAATGATGGCAGATGATGTTTTCAAGACTGGAACAAGTTACAAAATTGTATTATGTAATTCAAATTGAAAATAATGTAATAGTTTCCGCTCGGTTCTCCGTCGTGGTTTAATTTCAATTCAGTCTCTAGATAAATGTGCCAAATGTTACCAACAATAATTTGGTTAAATGAGTGATTATTTTTGGAATACAAAGTAGTTATCTGATGTAGCCAATCTTAAATTCCGATAATGAAATGCAAACGAATTGCTCTAAACGAATAAGACATTTTCAAATGGTGTTGAATGTTGAAATCTAAGCAATATTTAATTTTTATTACAGCTTTACACAGGGTTTCCTCTAGTTGATACAACAGCATTTGGCATATTGGTAATATTTTCAGGCGATCGAATTCACTCTATTTTCTCTAATCAATTGTGATTTCAACAAAAATTCGATTGAATATGCCGAAAATTTAATGATTGCGTCTAAATTCCGGCTCTTTTTAAAGCTCAGGAAATTTACTAAAATTTATTTATTTATTTTATCTCGTCTGTGCTTTATTGGCTACTTTAGTTTTAGTACCTATTGTGAACGATCAAAATCATACACATGGAGGAAATGATTTGTGTGCAGGACAATGCCACGCTTTTATCACGCGTCTTGCGATAATGGCTAAATCAACATCCAATTAAACGATCGTTTAGCCGACTATCGGCGCACCAATCGCACCAGCCCCAGGGTACTTGAATGTCGATTTAATCACGTTCTCCTGTACTATATAAGCGGTAACGAGCAGTTCAATCAGTCTTTACTGTTGATTGCGAAAGCGCTCGATTACACCTGATTGCATTTTGCATTTTTAGCCGATTTAGACAAAAGATTAAATCAGTGAACATTTTATGCAGAAATTCAGGATTTAAGTGAGTATCTCTTGGTTTTTGTATTGATTGCTGATGATTTCAAAATTTTAAACAAATAATTGTCAAGGAAAAGTGATACGTTTATATATATTGTTTATTATTATAACGATAATAATAATTGATTGACCACATTTTGAAGCAACAATGATTTAATTTCAACATATCAAAACAATTAAACTGTTATTATGAATATAAATAGAAAATAAATAACTAACAATCAATGATAAAACAGTAGGTTTGACTAAAATGAAGTCATATCAATAGATCATAAACATATAATTATTTAAAAGCACTAATAACACTAACATAAACGGGATAAATACTAAGATGAGCCATGAATTTATTTCCTGCCATTTTTACTTTTTTTTTATTTCAATTTTTTGTATGGTTTACCATAATGCCAATTATATTTAAATAAATGAATTCAACATGACTCAATATTTTTACCGAATTCACAGAAAAAAATATTATCTGGTCATTCATCCGTGGATCACATTTTTAACCGCAACGCGATGCCAATGAAACGATTATTAGACTTCAATCGAATTAATAATGCTGTTACCTATGGCATGCTAGTGAAACGTAGACACACGAACAATTAGACCACTCGAGATAATTGCTGCTGATATGAAATAATTTTGACAAAAGCAATAAAAAACAAAAAAATTAAACACTAACTTTTATCATGTGTGCATCCACACGAGCTTTCAAAATAGTGCTGAAGTTAAAAAAAACACAAATGTTTAATTTAAAACGAACAATTTAATCAACATTCCCACGTGGTTCGAATTAGTTCCTATGTGTAATCGTTATCATGTCTCATAAATTCAAATAATCGTTGCTTTTTGAATGATCTGTTATCTAGACGACAATGTATGCATCGGCGATATGATTATTGGTTCGAATGTTCAGTAGAAAGAAGATGGAGGAGGAGGGAAAAATAATGATTACGTCATAGATTTAGATAATTGTTATCATTTAGATGTACCTTACGGCATAAATAACTGCTAACATATTATAATGAAACGGCTTTTTTCACGCTCAAATCAAGTCAGATCGAAAAGAAGATATATTGAAAAAAAAGACCAAGTCCATTATTGTTTTGAATCTCTTTTACTCACTCAGTCTCTTTCATTCGGAAAAATTCCATTTTTATTCAAGACGCAAAAAAAACAAATCTTAAAAAAATAATATGAAATCAGCAAATATGTGATATATCAAAACATTCACTACCTGCAAATTCGTATTCGTATGAATTGTTGTATTGTTTTGTGTGATGAGTTGATTCGTCGAATCTCGTATCAGCGGTAAGTTGGTTTGTGATTTATTATGTGGTGATTTTGTTGTTGTTTTGTTTTGCGTCGACTGTGCAGAGTCGAGACAGTGAACCTAATGTAAAAACCAGAAGTAAATAACTATTAAAATATTTGCTTTCTCTAGTCAAGCGACGCAAAAAAAAAAATCAAACCATACGAGACTTGGATTTGTTTGTTCGTTTTTTTTCTGGTGGCCATTTAGCGTTATCCATCGAATTGAACCGTGAATTTGTTTTAAAGAAAATCATATTGCAAAACGGTTAGATAAATATCGAAAGGTATCAAGACCGTTACAAAACACAAATACTTTGAATGACCGGAAGGTGACGTTTAAACAGACAGAAAAGATGCCGATTCATTTAGTTTGTCACTGATAACAATACAAGTACGCTTGCGAATCTATATAAACACCAATTAATCATTACATCGTTGTACACACTACAAACCAATGGGTTAATTGATTCAACAACTTCGCTCACTCTGTATTTAGAAACAATGAACTTTAAATAAAACGCTAATCAATTTGTTCCGTTCACAAAACCAAACTGGCTATAATTCTCTGAAAAGTTCATCTTATTAAGATGGTATTTTTATTATCAAAATTATACGGTTAACTATGTGCTCGGAGCGACCATAATGCCATAGCAAAGAAGCCACTAGTTCGAATGGCAGACGCACAATGATTTACAAGCAGACGACTTGAAAGAATTTCGGTGTACAATATCATAGACGATTGTATGGTGAAAATATTGTCGCACGCATTTTAGACACCCAGATTGGTCGAAATCTTGAAGCATTAACACTTCTCTCGTGTTTGGCTTCCTACACTTAACGGTGCAAACGCGATTTGATACACACAAATGGACAAACAAAAGTCTAATGTACATACACTGACTGAAACTTGACAATCAAGTTTATGCAAAGACCGTGTCGAGCAAAAAATTTTAATATATAACTGTATCAATGATAGAGAGAATGAAATGCTGCCGCCTACAACACATATCAAGAATGCAGCTTCCATTTTGATGAATTACATTTGGCGAGTATCCACTGAATATCATTCATTCGTCATTTGATGAGTTTTAAATGATGTCCGAAGAAATAGATTTTCACATTGATTATTATTCATAGTAGAAATTTCCAAGGGGAATCCCATTCACGCGGTGACCCAAAAGCTTGCGAAAAAAACCGAATGGATTTCGTCACGAAATCGCAACATCAAATATATCGAAGAAGTAATTGATCATTTTAGCTTTCGATAAGTGTGTGTGGATTTGGATTTGCAAACGATTTTAAACTCTTTGATCACGTCGCTTGGAAAACACACACGATCACACATAAAGCACACACACACATAGCATGTACAGCGACTTTTTTTTTATTGCTGTAACTTTTGTGATATAATCTCATAAATTAAGAACAATCATCATCTCGAGAGCCAACGTTTTATTCGGCTCTCGAAAAATTTACGAATGTGTTGATGCGGTAAAGCCAAGCGCATACAAATCGCACGCCAAGCTCAGTTTTTGTTGGCTTCAATCGAAATATAAATCAAACTACACAAACCAATATACGAGCCATTTAGACGATGTTGAATTTTAAAGTTCAAGTATAAACGTTTTTTCTTATGTTGTACGTTACCGAGGCATAAGGTCTTTGATACGAGTGCGCTAAAGATTTTTCCCGTGTATGAAGCGAATCGTTTAATGAAAGAGGTACAGCAACGTCGACGACGACAACGAAGGAAAAAAAGACAAGCAAAAAACTGAGTACAAAAACAAGTGCGACAAAAGTGTGTTCATTTTGCATTTTATGTTTCAGCCGAATTATACGATACACACTGAGAGTAAATTGTTACAATCTCTAGTATTTGTGTGTTTTACACGGGGCTTCTACTCTCGACCCCGTGAGAGTGTCATTTTCATACACATCTGCATATGTGTATGTCTCTCTCTCTCTCTCTCTCTCTCTTTTCTCGCTGTATGTGTGTGTGTCGTAGTGTGTAGATTCGTTGGAGATTGCTGTTCTTTTTGAATATTTATCCCATTCCGTTCGCGCGAGCACACCATACGGCAAAATATACACACAAACACACACTTTGCCATACCTTTCTGTGCTTTGCGTTTCGAAAAAAATAAATAAAATAAAACACATATGGCGAATGTACACATAGATTTTTATATGTGCATAAATGTTAATTTTTCTTGATTTGGATTTGTTTTTTTGTTTTTGTTTCATCGATTGTTGTATGTTTCATCATTTTGCGGTCAATTTATTTGTTAGTTGGAATTTGTTGAGCGCATACTTGTCTCTTTCTCATTAGAAGCAGACTCTCTGCAGCTGAGATAAGTACGCGCGCGCGATTGGCTTTATGTCTGTACCTTGATGGGTCAGACAGTTAACACACCAGATTCGTTTTATTGAAGAGAGTTTCTTTTTCATTTAATTTGCTCTTTCATTAATAATTGTTGCTGTTACTGCTGCTGCCGCTGCTGTGCAGTTGTTTGTGTTTTTCATTTCGCGCTTCGCAGAGTTACGGTTACCGAAAAAAAAACACACAAAGAGAATAATTTAATAAAGACGACAAGAAATGAGTGTAACCAATCCGTTGCTGTTGCGCCTATCGTGTTGATAATATATTAGTTCTTCGTTTTTATTTTATTTTTTGAATGGTAAATGATTTAATAGGCATTTGATACAGCCAATTCCGTTTGAGAAGATGTAAAAGTTAAATTGTGTGTCAGTTGTAGTCGCAAAACCAAAACGGCAAAAAAAAAAGAGAAAGACAATTGAGTATGTAGAAACACCTTGAACGAAGAACTACACGCTGCTGCAAATGGACAGAAGGAAATAGCGGAGTAACAACGACAGAAAAAAAACCTTGTGCGAATTTAGTCGATGATTGGTTTTCATTTGAAATTAAATGATCTAAATACATTTTGAAGAAACACCAGAAATAAGTAATGATCATATCATTTGTGGAACAAAGTTGCATTGTTTGTGGTTGTGTGATGTGCCCGCGCGTGTTGTTTCATATGGCCATTATAATTGATTGAACGCCATCATGGTGATCTGGTTCGGGTGCGAGAATGTAAATGTTTATTGTTTGATGTTCAAGTTTAACAATCAACGTGCGGCTCCCACCGATCAATAGAGCACCAACAATAGATTTTGGATTTTATTTCAAGTTTTGCATTGATTTGGTTTCAGAAGACAAGCAAAACAAAAGGGAAGAAAACTGGCCGTTCAAGCAAATCTTTCTCAATAAACAGACACAGTTTGGGTATTGTCAATGATATCTTTACTGAAAACGGTGGTGAAAATTGAAGTTGAATTAGGTAACACGCACTTTTGATGTTGTCGTCGCCAATGCCCAAAAATTGGGCCGACGCAAAACATGACCAATTCAATTGAATAATGATCGTTGGCACTCAAGCGAAAATACAACAAAGTATGAAAGCAAAAACAAAACGCACACACAACCAGCCGTGCTTTATTCAAAATGAAACAAAAAATTATGAGGTGTATTACTGGATTCAACCGACGATTTTTTTTATTATTCTTCTTTTTTTCCATCTCATTGTTTTCGAGAGGAAACAGGTCACAAAAGCTGCTTATTTATACATACATTCACACAGAGCCAGAACTTAATTAAATCTTTACGATTATTGCAAAACAAATTAAATGTTCACCTTTTTCGTTGCATTCAGTGTGTGTTTTTCTCACTTTGAATTTTAGTTCGTTGTAATTTTCTTGTTTCGCTTTTGTTTTACTCTAACTCTCTCTTTCAATCATAACGATAATTCGATTGATCATATTCATTCAAAGACTGCTTGGATTCAATTCAAATGAACTGATACACATTTGCCGGTCATACGTGTTATTCCGGAAAACATCTACCCAAAATATCTATTGTTACGAATAACATCTATTTTTATCTATCTGTATATGCTACTTCGGTAACTCGACTCGATCATATTCTATTGTTTATCAGAGACGAACTGTAATCTAGCGACAATAGTAAACGAAACACTTATCACTTAAATCGTTGCGTTCGCTTGAATTTGAGCAGAGATTGTTCGTCAGTTTATTCAATTTGGTTGGTTCATTTGAGCAGCTACAACAACAACATCGACAAAATATTTCACCTTACTCGGCATCTTATCATCATATTGTGTGTGCATTTCCCCCCTACATACGATGCCACGGCTATTTCGGTTAACGTTCAGTTAATGTTTCATTCAAACACAATACGAGAAGTCAATTGTAATTGTGTGATAAAGTGCGGCCAACCACTTGAAATGTATACTCAATGTAGTCCTAATGGATTGATTTGGCCAAAACGAAACCAAAAAGATAAAGAGAGAATAAAAGAGAGACCAAAGAGGGACAAAAGAGATAATCTAGTGACTTAATTTCCAAGAATCATACTATTTATTTCGATTTGATCGACCTATACCGTGGATACAGATACTAGATTCTCAATTTTTGCATTTCCATGGAAAAAAAAATGTTGTACCATCACAACGTTAAATGATCACCGACTCGAACCGAACAAAACAATACAGACACAATCGTACGAAGAATTCTCACAGTTGATTATTCCATATCTTTGGATGGTACCTGTTCCTAGATTATGGGTTTTTTTTCTCTGTATTAAGAATCTGTTTTTTGCATTTGAGCGAGTGGTTTCATATAAAAATCGATAAACCGCTTTAAAATAATGACAGTTTTCAATTGAACATTCATTATCACACAGTAGGGCTTTCGGAAGCGGCAATTTGAATTGTAGCCGGTTTTGTTTTTGAATTTAACAAACATGTCGAACAAAGTATAATCGATACGAAAAGTGACATTTACGAGTTATTGAGGAATATTTGAAAAACAATTTTAATGCGTTTTTCTTTTATCGAACCATATCGCATTTCCGCGAATAAAAAACACAAAGAGTTTGAGAGAGAGAGAGATTGTGGTGAGTTGCATTTTCTTGCTTATGTGAAATGTGAGATGAATATCAAACAAAATCGATGCGATTCTTGTGCGGGATTCCCTGAATGCTGCCTGGCTGCCTGACTGCCTGCCTGTCTGCTTGCATGAATCACATTACGCCGCAAAAACCAAATCACTCATTATTCAATTTAGTGAAGCCGCTTTTTGTGTGATTTATCAACACTTGCTAATTACTTTACGCCAATAGCACTTTCTCTATCTCTCGCATACGATTTCATAATGTTCGTTAATCGTTTGTATTTAGCATGCAATTTTATTAAAGGGAATCGTATTTGCACGACTCTTCGCCGCACAACAGAGAGGAAAAAAAACGAAATTGTGTATTCATGCAATGCAACGTGGAGATTAACGATATGTTTCTTCTTTGTTTGAAAAATGTTCATACATCTTTGGTTTTTGTCGGTGTAAAATTGAATGCCAGTTTTTTTCTTCATATTGTTGAATGATTTAGAGTATTGTGATGGAATTTTCGTTCAATGTTGTGAGTCATGTTGTGATAAGAACAAGAGTTGTGATCAACGCATATATGTAACACACTTTGATGTAAGTGACGAACAATTACCGTAATACATTGGATTGAGGTTAAGTGAGGTGTTTTCAATCCAACGAAAAATTCTTTATACGGAAATTGAAATTGCGTTATCAATTTATATCTCTTGTTTTGATTTACATTTTACATGAGAAGATAACTTTATTTCGGTACAAGTTTGACGCATTGTTTGTTGTCTTGGCCGTAAAAATATTTTTCTCGTCGAATTTGTGTGTTTTCCGAGAACTGACTCTCCGATGCTAACGAAGATAACGGCAATAATTGTTTGAAACAAACAGGCAATTTATTTCCAAAATAAACGGCAAAACAATCGTACAGCTTCTCGATGATGTGGACCTTGTGAAGAATAAATGCGAAAGTGTAAATGACCCAGAGTTGCCATATATGTTGTGCGAAAAAGAAGAAGAAGCTTTGCGTTGGGCTAAATGTCAAACGATGACATCTCCGATGCGGCGAAGAAAATATAGATCAATAGTCCAAAGTATGACCTTCGCTACCATCTTGAAGTCGAATGCTTGAGTTGTGTTTTCGTTCTTGATCGTACTGTTCTTATCGATTTCTTCGTGTTATCTGTTATGGTATAGTGGGGGTAACTTTACAGGCGAACTGTTTTTTTCTCAAGATATTTTAGTTTCGAAGTGTGTTTTTAGCGTGCATTTGGTGTGTTTATTGTTCGATAATGGAAGAATGATGCCGATCATATTTTGACGGCTGTCATTGACCAATAAATAATTCATAGTAACGTTTTTTGTGTGTGTTTTTTTTCTTCTTCTATCGCATGTATTTCATTTCGATGTCCAACGCAATTCGTTCAATAACCTAACGTGCAGCCAAACCAGCGATCAGCATACGCATATGGACAGTGTGTGTGGATAATAAGAATCAAAACAAAAGGAGAGAAAAAAAGGTGCAGCTGGTCAACACACGCAAATTGAATACAAAATAAGTGAATAACTAAGCACAAAACACAGTGAGACAAAGTGATACATAGAGAGAGAAAGAGAGAGAGAGAGAGAGAGAGAGAGAAGAAGGAAAACAACAAATTATATAGAATAACAATTCCACCGGCTTAACTGACTTGCACATCGATAACAGATAGGAACAAACACTTCATAATTACGGGCTGCTCTAACGCCATAAATAACAGAAAACAGTAACTGACAAATTCTATGCATGCCATATCATTCGAACAGAATCGCATAGTCGTTTTTCTCTGGTGCTTCTTGTTTTTCTCTCTCGATTTTGTTCGTTATTTTATTTAAATAACACTTTTGTTAATAATTCTAAGAACGTGCTTGAAAAATGACGTCGCCACTGTTTAAACATATTTTTGCTGCCTTTTTTATCGTTCACTTATCCAATCACATCGCGTTCGCTGAACATACAACAGCAACAGAAAACACATCATCACCGTCAACACCACCGAAACGAGTATCGAATCGCTTCTTAACCCATCTATTTCGGAAATACGGCAGCCACGGCAAGATATCATTTGAGGTAATTGCTCTTCTTTTGTTTTATTAGCTAGTTGCTCATTATCCGCATCAAAACGGAAATGACGACGCCATCTTTGGCAAAAATAGGAATCGTTTCAACGAAAATCATATGAAATTATTCCTAGTGAGTTATCTGCTCAATTTCGGATTGACTTTATTTTAGCAGAAAAACCATTAAATACAAAGTGTAAAAAAAAGTCTCGAAACGAGACGAAACACATTGAGAAAGACTCATCCGGCACCGACTATATGGATACAGTTTGTTTGTTCATAGTTGCGGTATAGTTCAATCTAACGGTACATCTTTTGGAGACTCTCCACTGTCATTGGCCAAAAATACGTCGTTAATTATCGCTTTTCGAAACTAACACACAAAAAAACAGTTGAAAATATCCCAATTAACGGTTTGTGGCACACAAAATGATACATTTCTCAATGTGATATTTAGGGTTTCGAACATTTGATGCACAATTTGGGAATTGGTGGCATCGATTTTCCAGAAAAGCACACATTGAATGAACATCGACCAAATGGATATAAATTGCCTGAAGTTACTTTTGACGAAGACACATCGACATTCCAAAATGAGCCACCATCGATCACTTTAGAAACCACAACACCTGGTAAGTGTTCCACAATCATATGAAGGTGATGAAAAAAAATGTATTGCTTACTTTCTAGCTCATTGGCGTTTCAAATGATTATTTGAGATTATTAACTGTTATTTTGCTATGTTTGCTTCCATTTATGATGTCTATCAATCAACGTACTCAAGCGATTGTTAAAAACTCCTATCTATATTTTGATTCGAGTTTTTGACAAGTTATTTCATCTTGTATTGTTTCAAAGCACAAGTAATCATATAGTTCAAAAATGACTCATTTTGTAGCTATAGTCTAACTCTATCATTTTTTTCCGGTCATTCATACTCATCATAAACAGAAACATTGTGTGTGTGTGTTTAGTTTGCTTATCTAAAAAAAGATTGCTTGTTAAACATGAGCATTCCGTGTGACCCTTGTGGATCGCTCGCCTATTAGTAAGCAAGCAAAACGGGCGGTGAAGTGCAATTCAAAAGGCAGAAGAAGAAAAAAATCATAAATAACTACATCTAATTTCACTTCATATTCATTTTTTTGCTCAAGTTTCGCTTTTAATTTCACTTTATATGTTCGTTTGTGGCTTCATTTAAATATATTTAGAACTGATTTTTTATAGGTCACTTTTATTATGGTATCAAAGCTACACTTAAAACGTTATTATTATCATAAGATTCATATGATAGATGCAAGTTATTGCTTTCATTTACAGCAACAGCATATGCAGCGGAAAATGATTATCTCATTAAATTAATTAATACATTCGATAATGAAAAGCAAGAAGATATCTTTCGTACGATGCACGATCCAAACCATCGACATCCACGACATCGAGGTACGCATTTGCTGATTTATAACAAAAACCGAATCATATACGTATATCAATCCAAAGAAAATTGATGGTACAGTGAACGTTCGGAAATCTTGAGTCCAACAAAACTTAATCTGAACTTTCGTTTCACAAAGTTACTACACACTTTCATCGTGAATAATGAGCGAAATACGTGTGGCAAATGTGTTTGGAAATCGATAAGATCTAAAGCACAACAAATAAGCAACTTGACGGAAATATTTCGTCCGAGATATGGATTTTTTTAAGGATTCAAATTTGAACAGCCATATGCAAAAGATTTGGTTAAACTACTGAATTTTGTTCGCATATTGGATTAGGGGAGCAGCTGAATAAAGCTTTGTTCTAACTATTTTTGTTGTATCCAATATATCATGACTCATGAATAATGATGATCCATGGACAAAAATCATCAACACTTGAATCTAAACAATAATATTCAAAATTTCATTTAATTCCAGATTAAAAACCGCCCAGAAAGCTCAAGAGTCCGAAAAACAAACTACTTAAGATTACCGAACGTTCGCTGCATAGTTTTTCTTTCTGTTTTTCAATTTAAAACGTGATGCTTAATAGTTTTTTCTTTGAAAACTGAGCGCTGCAATCCCAATGGGAAGAAAAATAAACATCTTAGGAGCATTTTAACATTACTTGATGAAAAAAAAATGGTATTTCCCGCATTCTGCAAAAATGAAGTGGCAATTTAAAAAAAATCTGAAAAATGTGGAACCATTGGTTTTTACTGCAAACGGCACAATGAACGTTTAAAACCGTTTAAAACACGGTTAAATATATCCGTAAATCCGGTAACGTTTATTTCGATCCGAATGTTTGATAAAATTCAATGGAACTTCGACATTCACATATGAACCCGTGAGCATAAAAACGACTTATTAAACGATCGCCGAACAAAACGATACAAGAAAAAACTACCAAACAAAACACACGTTAAAAACGTAACACAGCAGGACGGTACCGTTCAAAACGAAACTCCGCTGTGCTACACATTACCGCTGTGGTACGTTTTGTTCGGTAGTTTTTTCTTGTATCGTTTTGTTCGGCGATTGTTTAATAAGTCGTTTTTATGCTCACGGGTTCATATATATCTGCTGTAACGAATCGATTACGTTGACGTTTTCCGCGTATTAATTAAGCACAGTTTCTCAGTAAGCTTCTTACTTTGGGGTAAATAGACTGGGTGCCTGGTGGTGGCTTTCGCATTATTTTCTCAGTAGATTTAAAAATAGCACAACTTTTTTTGTAGCATTGGCTATCAATCATTTTCACGAGTCACTAGTATAGTTTGACACACACAACAAGAAGAAAAAAAACGATTGAAAATTATTGACAGGTGTTTGTTTATTTGCGGATGAAAAAATAACTCAAAACCGGTAGTGCCAAAGATTCTACACGTGACAATATTTAAATAAATTTCGATACAGTTTCTCCGAATTTCGATAACGTTAAGGCTGTATACAGTTTTATAAAACAAGAAGTGTTTTATAAGAGAGAAAAAAAACTTGTTTTTATAGCGCATCAAATGTATGAACACAAATAGCTTAGGCGAATGAATATACGCGAATTCTTCGGAATTCCTTTTAGTAAAAAAAAAGAATTTCGAAATATTTTTTCTCTTCAAAACGTAGATCATTCCAGTCAACAGAGAAAAACATGTCTTTCGCCGATTTCTTTGGTGCAAATGTACAGTCCAGACGCGATGAATGGAACGATAAAAAATAACCCGGTATATCGGTCATCATCCGTGTTGGCCGACAACAATGATGAACATCAGCACCAACATCAGCATGAGCATCAGCACCAGCATTCGGACGAAGATGGCGATTATAGTATATCAAATATTCAAATTACACCGGCCGCATTCATGAATATGTGCCCCGCATTATTGGTGCAAATCGAGCAAGGTTCATGCGCCGAACAACAGCAACAACAACACTTTGATGATGAACCTCTGCCATCATCATCGGCATCATTGCCGTCAGTGCAACCAAAAGAACCAAGAGAAAGCAAGGTTATTTCCAGCTTTGGTAAGTGATAAGTCTTGCCTGAGCAATAGACTTGACCATGCTGTCATTCGTTTGAGCATTTGAACAACAACAAAAAATAAGACACAATAACTGAGAGATGTTTTTTCTTTGTATTCAATTTTGTAGCATGGATTGCGGCAGTTGTGTCAATCACGATAATATCATTATGTGGATTAATTGGAATTGCCATGGTACCACTTACGAAATTTAGTGCATATCATGAGATTTTACGTTTTATGATCGCCATTGCCATCGGAACGCTGGTCGGAGACGCTTTGATGGTGAGCTAATATATTTATATTCATCGTTTGGGCGGTATACATATATTTAAATTGCTAAGAGTTATCAAATCTCGTACAACCTTCAGACGAAGATTATAGGTCATTCGTATAGAATTATAACAGCGAATGTAATTTCTTTAGTTTGAAATTTATTTGTTTCTTCTTGCATTTTGGTTCGCTCTAGCATTTGATTCCACATGCGTTAGCGCCACATGACCATGCATCAACGGAGGAGAGTCATATGCACGGCGATACTCGTCATGCTGAGGATGCACATGATCATAGCAGCGAGACGGAGGCGGTTTGGTTGTGCGGTTGTGCCTTTTTGACGGCATTAGTAATGTATTTCATCGAAGCCCTACTGCCATTGTTATCTGGAAATGCTGGCCATGGCCATAGTCACGGTGGTCACGGTCATGGGCCAAAAATATCCAACAAAGTGCAAGCCGAAGTGATTCACAGTCCAGAAGACTGTCAACATCAGCAAAATGAAAATCAGGCAAGTAACTGTGGTAGCTGTGAGGATCTCGACAACGATTTGGAAAACTCAAAGAAAAATATCGAAGAAAATGTGATGGTTAAGGACACAAAGGTGCGACCGTTGGGCGCTCTAACACCGGTCGCATTCATGGTGATCATTGGTGATGGGCTGCATAATCTGACGGACGGAATGGCCATCGGAGCTGCGTTCGGTGTGGATCCAGTGACAGGGATGGCTACCGCATTAGCGGTTTTGTGTCATGAATTGCCCCACGAACTTGGCGATTTTGCGCTTCTTCTCCAAACAGGTGTCAGTCTACGACGAGCATTCGTATTTAATGTCATATCATCAATGCTCAGTTTTATCGGTATGATTTTCGGTTTGTTGATTGTGAATGCAAACAGTGCATTTGTGCGGTGGATTTACGCAGGAACTGCTGGCACATTTTTGTAAGTTTTTCTCCCCATTTTATTAAAACAAAAATTAATACCTTACTAATTTAAAACTCATTTTCATTTAAGGTACATTGCATTTGCTGACTTAGTGCCAGAGCTCGGCCGAGCCGAACAATCCGTTAAGATGACACTCATCCAAGCACTTGGCATTCTGATTGGCGGCATTATTATGCTCTTAATCGGCCTCTACGAAGACAGCCTTAAGATAATATTCGCTACTATAGAGAGCTGATCAAATAGTCATATAAGTGTTATACATAATTTTTAAATCGAATTAGATAGTTTAAACTATTCTAAAAACAAGATGATAGATCAACAAATGTATATTTTTACAGATCATAGGAAACGCGAATTTTCTAGCCATTTTCAACGAAAACATTTTTCAATTCATTTTAACAGTGTTTATACGTTTTAGTAGCGTACGTTTTCATTCGTGCGCGCACCAAGCGAAAGAGAAAAAAAATACAATGAAATCAAACGCAATTTCGTATTTAGTTGAACTTAAGTTTTAATGAAATTTATTCAATATAGATTTTATTTAAATACATTTACACTATTTATTATTGGTTTTTGACTCCATTTTCCATTGCGTAAGTGGATGTCTGTATGTGATTTTTTTTTTGTATTTCAACATTTTCGTTTTTGTCTGTTTTGAAAATTGTATCGTTTGGATTTCATACTTCGGTCACAGTGAGTGTGATGAGAATAATTTCTTGTAATTGTACGGATTTGCTTCATTATTTTAATCATTATTGTTAGAAGAACAAAATAATTGAAGTACATCCAAGCTGACGACACTTCAGTACAAACATCATTTGAGCGCTCGCAGCGCCACGAACTCTCGTATCATTTTGTATTGACTTTTCGATAGTTCATGAGTTCGCCGTAGACTTCGTCAAAACGTGTCGTCCCTTTGAGTACATCTGCTCAATGTGAAAACATCGAAATATATGTATATTCTTCTGAGAGTGAGCAGAACCGACACTCAATCACATACTTTTAATATTTTTTTTTATTTTAGTGTAGAAAAAAAAAATTGATAACGTAAAATGAAATCAAATTATTTTTGGACCTAATAAAAAGAAACCTAATGCCTATCTCAATTTAATTCTATAAAATTAGAAAAAAAATTCACACACACTTGATTTATTAGATATTAACTTCTTCTAGTTTTTGTTTCGATCATGTAAACTGGCCATCAGCTCATGGAAAGAATTCGTTCCAATGAAGTAAACGGTGAAAAAAAAAAACCGGAAAAGTCGACACATCATTCAAAAACTGAAAATTCGTATATTCATTGCGTTTGCGTATTCGACATTCAGAAATGATACACAATTGACAGTCATGATTTCTGGTCACTGTAATTCACCGACAACGATCGGCTAACTTCAAAACATCTTATCAATAATTCTTTGCTTTCGGAATGTTTTGATTACTTTGATTCTCGATGCGATTGATTCATCTCTTTCTCATAAAGATTCCGCTCTTTTTTTTGTTGCAAATGACAAATTAGAAATGTCCAATTTTATTTATCTGTTTGTTTGTTTTTTTTCTGGTAAAGAAATCTATCGATATTTTATAACCCGTTGAACACCAAATGTCATAAGGGGTAGATCTCTAGCAGAGATATCTTTCCATTATCCCTATGAATTCATTTTCTTTCCATCATCCTTATCTATTTTGTTAAAGATTTATTTTAGATCTAAAAACTTTCTCGCATTTTCACTTAATTCAAAAGTTGATGCCTCATTTCATCAAACAAACGAAAAAAAAAAATTAAAAAAAAAGAAGAGAGAAAGCAAAAGTATGTCTGCATATAAACGGTTTTAGATGTAACCGGTGATGAAAAGAGAAGCTTGAACGTATATCTAATGATGGAAAAATGTCTATTGACGTGAATTGTGTGCACCCTCGTCATAGTCATCGGGCAGCTCCTCGATTTCTACATGGTGTTGATGGTTGTTCATGTTCTGTGATCTATCTTTCATTTGTCTGTGATGAGTACGTCGCGACTGTGGTGATACATTGTTGTATGGATGTGGGTGGATGCTGCAATAAAAAAGAAAAAAATATCGAAATAAAAGGAACGTTAGAATGGAGAAGTTAGAAGAATCCAAATTTCAATTGTATGGCGAACTTAGGCGAAAATAAAACGGTCAGTTGTGAATGAAGAATAAACAAAACACGTAAACTCTTAAACGAATATTTAAAGCATTTTCACGTTCAAAATTTCAGTCGATTAAAAGAGCGTAAATAACTCGAAAAGTTGTCCATTGTCACAGGTTCCGCCATTTCATTCATCATATTTTTATGTCCAATTTCGTACAAACAATATCAAAGATGACAAACAAATAAGAGATTCTTTATCTACCAGAAAAATCTCTCATGCACTGAATACTTAACAAGTGTTTGTGCGTCGCGTGTTAATTGCCACAAACAGTTTAAATTAATTTGCCCATTCACGGAATAGAGACAGAGAGAGAGAGAGAGAGAGAACGAGTGAGTGATAAAGATAAGTATTTAATACACAAACAAAAGTTTTTTTCTCAACGCCAAACTCGAAACAAGCACATGCAGATAAAATCACAATAACGTCGCCAGACACGACGGTTAGTGCTCGGTTAGTAGCTGAGGTTAGAAGTTCAAGTGAGAAATCCGATTCAACGCCAAACAAAATGCATTTACACAAACAATATTTGCATACACACATTGTTTTCTTTGTGTGAGTTTGTGTGGTCGAATTCGGATAACGATGCATACATACAATCGAACTGAATCAATCGATTTAGCACTGAAATACAATGAACACACTGACGTGTGATCTAGAACGTTGATTTGTATTGTTTCATTCGGTCAAGTCTTTGAAACCAACCGATAAAAATCTAATTTTTTTTCATTGTTTTTTCACATGAAACTTTTTTTTTCTATAAATTATCCAAATTTTTAGATTTATGGTGAAGAAAAATAATTTTTTTTCATATTGAATCTCATTGAAATTCTCTAAATACATCAAGCGCTCTTCGTGTTTTTCATGTTCTCGTGTCTGGTTAGTTTTTCATTTGAGCGCTGCCTTATAATTCGCTAAACTTCGAATTTGCATGAAACAATATAAGTAGCTTCTGACATTGGTATAAAATTGATGGTTTACTGCCGTAAGGCTTTGTCGTCGGTCCGCACATTATACCACCACGGTGGGTGCAGTTCACCGCTCAATAATGTACGAAACGGAACAGACTAGACATTCATGCTATGCGCTGATTGTTGTTATAGTCTGTTCCGTTTCGTACTAGAGAGACTGGCTCTTACGAGAGTCACGATAGGGTAGCTAACGCGAAAGAATTTTTTAGCAAAAGAATTTAGTGTTTTGTTCGCGGCGTGTTAGTGAAAAACGGCTGACACGGGAATTCCTGTTACGAGACTTATAAAAACACTGTGAAAATCACCGTAATGAGTGGAGAAAAGCTGATGAATTGAAAATAGAAGAAGACGGAATTCTTTCGTTAGCGTTAGCTACATGAAGTGGTGTGTATGTGTGTATGTCATGATAAAGACGAGAGATAAACAAAATTAGTCATTTTAGTTGAAACGAATGAAGTACATAATATGAAACAAACAAATGCGGTTAATTTACACAAACAAAATGAAAACACAATCATTTATCACGCACTACTTTTCATTTGCATTGAATCGAAGCCGATTGCGTTGACATCGATGTCGGTCTTCGATTGTGATCCGAATAAATGTGGAGAGGAAAAACAAAGAGCTGCCAGTTAAAAGAGCATGTGAAATTTTGTTGTCAGCCAATTGAAAGTGATTATTTGGAATAATTTCATTTGTTTTTGTTTTGTTGGATTGATTATGTATTTTTTGTTAATGTCATTGAAGCGTTGCGACGCAGCCGCATTTCACTTTAATTTATTTGGTTTGGTTCTTAAAGAATCGGCTGTAAAAACTAACCTTGTTCGCGGCGACATAAAATTATTTAGACCACTACTCATAGTCAGGGGCGACGAGGTTGGCGTACGAAGTGGCCGTCTTGACGTGATTTTATGTGAATATTGTGTGTGCTTTTCAGGTCGTACAGCACGACCGCGCGAATGCGAACCGGCGGCGATGGACGACGACGACGACGTTGGCGGCGGTGGCGACGGTGGCAATGTTACATTTGGTTCGGCTTCCTCCGTATTTTTCGACGTTGAGCTGTTTGTAAATTATTTGTGAAATTAATTGGTTTTTGTTTTTTTTTCTTTTGAAATTATTTTCGAAGAATAATTTGTGTATATCAACATGTGCAATTTTATTGTGAGAAATTATCTCCATCTTCTGGGTCATTCCGAAAAGTGGCCGCTTCTTTAAAATCACACAATATATATATTTATGAAACATCGATGTAATCGCACATGATACATTGAAATATGCATTTTATTGTCGACAATCGATAATAATGAATAATATAGCGAAATGAGTTTTTAATTATCTGCTTCTTCTTGTGAACGTGCCAGTTGTGAATAACGAACATATTTGATTGATATGAAATGCAATGTATACGTGACAAAAGGTGAACTTCAGACAGGAATCAATTCAATGCGTGACGATTGTACACTTTATTACCACAATTGCTGCTGTTAATATTTGCTCATGTTTCTTTCTTTTATTCTTTGATGCGCGTTTTCAAAATACCAATTAACGATTTTTTCGGAGTTTCATTTGCGTTTTGGGACATTGCGAACATGGAGCAAATCAAATGAAAACTGAAAAACAAATGATATTTCTTTCGTTTCTGTCAAAGTAATGATAATTTATGAGCGCACACCTTAAACAGAAAACATTTGCATATAAGCCGATGGTTGTACCCTATTTTGCATTTATTTCCCATTTGATCAAATACAATGCTAATAATAATTTTTTTTTTTTTTTTTTAATGACGAAGTTAATCGATTTGATTTGAATATGTCTTGCATTTGTTTTTTTTTTCTTCTGACTTTTGTTTCAATTTATCTAAGAGTTAGAAAAAAATTCAAGAAATGTTCGACTTTTACTTCCAAATTTCAACAGAAAAGTGTATAAATAAACCACAATCAACAACTACTACACTTGACTCAGACTATAACGTGTTCAAAATGAATATATATATATATGTGTGTGTGTTTCTTCAGAAAAAAACGTATAAAACTGTTCCATAGAACTTCTGTTTTGTTCACCAATTGTGTAATTTATTGTGTATTGTCTCAAATAAAAGCGACAAAAATGTGTTTATGAATCGATGTTAGCTTTGAAACGTATTCTCACCTTGAACTGTGCTGTTCGGCTGGCATGATAGCTGGTAATTGTCGACGCGAGCCACTGCTTCCGCCCACTTCGCTGATGGCATTTGGCAATCGCATTCCTTGGCGACTCTTTTGTGTAAATTCGCGATCAAAGTCTTCAGCTTGGTCCTCTTCCAAATTGATAAAGTCTTGACGCTCTTCATGCTGACCAGAATGATAATTCTGTTCACGTTCGATAATATGTGCACGTTCACCAATGTGATGGCCGATGGCCATTTTTTTCACACCAGTGCGGGAATCTTGTACCGTTTTTTTTGTTTCACGAATTCCACCTGGACCCGTTTTAGTGCTGCTGGTTGCTTGATACACTTGCGGCCGTCCATCGGGTCCATGCGACATTGAAATCACGCTACTCGAACTGAATGATGGACCATCCATTCCTTCTCCGCTCAACAGGCGATTCATGTTGGGCATGGCCGGAAAACCAAATGGCATCAAACCACCACCAAATCCAATGGCTTGTTGATGATTCTGCTGCGGACCAAAACCAGCTGCACCACCAGTCAATGCATCAAATGCACTGAAATAAAAATAGAATCAAGAAAACAAAATTATCAACTTGCTTTTGATTCCGAATAAAGTTGGATAAATACTATTTATACTTTAAATTTTAACTTACCCGAATGGGTCACCGAACATCGAGCTCATCATATTATTCATTTGACGCATTGAGCGCATGTGATGTCTATGAAAATAAAATAAATATTATTGCAATTTTTTTTCTTCATAAAAATCAAATCAATTACATAAAATACATTCAGCAATTAAAAAATATTTTATGAATATTTTGGTGTTCGTAAACCACTTAAAATGTATCGATTTCAAATGCAGGAAGTGAGCTCATTCATTAAATGTCAATTAAATTCCCTTCCTGGTTATTGATATGGGAAACGAAATTTCGCAATGAAAATTTCAATTCTATTCGAAAACAAACGAAAAAAGTTTCCCTAAAATTTTGACGTTCTTCCGCCATTTTTTGCATTAATGATGTGATTTTACATTTATTTTCTGTAAATATTCAGCAATAAAAGATGCATAGATATGAAAATCAATTGATGTTCAAAGAAAAGGAATACGTGAGTATATGCGCATCAAATAAACGCTAAAAAGACATGCATTCTAGTCCATTGCCATAAATCTGCTAAATAAATGACACTTAATTTTTACATTTCGCCAACAGTGGCCAACAAAAAGAAAACGGCTTGGTCTCATTGCTGTACATGGAACATAGATAGGATCAAATGGTCGACAATGCATATATATAGATATATATATCTATTATGCTAAAGTAAGATGAACAGTAGTAGTAGTAGTAGCCTTGACGAAAAGAGCTGAGTTAATTTGAAACGATGGCTAGTGAAAGAGTAGTATTTTCCGAGGTGTTCCATGTACATTCGAAGCAGAGAATTTCATCCAAAAACTCTTTGCTTACGAAATATCCGACAAAACAAACACATCAAAATCTCTCTCTATCTGTCTATCTCTTTCTCTCTCGCACCGTTATAGTGAAGACATCTGAGGAATGAAATACAGTGCGCACATTTGTAGTTGTACGTCCACAGCACTTCTGAGTGGATAACAAATGTGTGCGCTAGTGTTTGTGTTGGTGAGAAAGTTCGAGCTGATGTGTATGAAGAAAAAGAATGTTGTAAATGTGTATGTGTACTGCGAATCTGTTCTCGAAACCTCGATTGGTCGTCTCTTTTTCCACATTAGATCTTCTATCGATGATGAGTGGAAAAATCGCATTACACCATGCACCTTTTTTTCGATAATCCATTTGGATCAAAAAATCAATGAATATGAACTTTGAAATAAAAGCAATCGCAAAAAAATAATCATCATCATCATCATCATCGTTGTCTCACAATACATCCGTATATACAAACACCAATTGTTGTTGAAACATATGATTTGCTAAAGTGGTTTTTTCCAATAACTATCTCTCTTACTAGCATGCATTCAGCGAATACAATAATAATTATTTACTTGATACATTTTTTCTTGTCGTCCCAATACCATCGAAGGCTATGCAATTGGTTTTTCACCACTGTGTACTGTCATCGGAAAACACCAGCACAGAGATACTCATTTTCAATATTCACACAAAATCACACCACACAAAGACGATTTATTGATTATATGAACAGACCAAAAAAAAATAATTTACTTACCCAAAAATTGGATCATCTTCAAAATCGCCCATCAATGAACCGAACATGTCGTTTTCTTTTTAATACTCTTTGCTTTTAGTTTAACGCAAATCCTTTTCTACGTCACACAATTAGTGACCAGAAAAAAAGTAAAATGGAGAACTATTCAACACACAGTCTACTCTTTGACACCAAATTGATGCTTCACACTTTTGTTTCAAAATGAAATTCAAACGCTTGCGGTTGTTCGAGTATTTTCGACAGCCTCCGTACAATTTGCAATAGTATTCATTCAATTGAATTTACTACCCAAAATTGATATCTGGTTGTAATTTGCTTTTTTTTCTCTATCTCTCACGATTATTTGTGAATTAGAAATCTTTCCCGTTATATTGTTGTGCACTCACTAGACTCGTTGTAATACTACTAATACACGCTGAGTTTTTTGGTTTCTTTCCATCAAGTGTCACTGCGGTTACTACTGCACTTTCAATAGATTTTTTTCTATCGTTTTAGCACACCAGACGGCGCTGTTGTCCCCGTAGAGAATATCATATTCATTCGTTTACTCAAATTTGCTCGAGGGTTTCAAGAAAAATCAACAAACCAACCACAATTTTCATTTTTTCGAACAAATTTTCTTTTGCAAATATTTCTTGTATTTTAACGCACAAATTTTTTTCCGTTTATTTGAAGAAATTTTTGTTCGATAAAATCAAGCTTATTCTCATGCTGAAGCTGCTTAAGGTTTTCCCGATGGAATTCAGCGAAAGTGGTAATACACAAATATACGGAATGTTCGACAAAGTTCTAGAAAACTTTGTCTTTCCATTCAAATGCATTGACACTCGCATGGACAGTTGAATAAAGGAAAACACACATTTGTTTCATGCCTAGTTTATGATTTACCTAATCATTTTTTATTTGAAAAATAAATAATGAAAACATGTTTTGCAATTTTGGCTATAGTAAAAAATGAAAACAAATAACAATTGATCGGTGTGTATCGAATTACACGTTTTCGAGGCTTTTCTTCTTTTTCTTCTTCTTCTTTCGTGTAACGTAAATGGTTGTCTCGTTGTTCTCGTTCTCCACAATAAGATAGTCTTTTGTGCTGGTCGAAATGTTTTTGACCGATTTGTTGCCGGAGGTATTGAGTACACTATTGTAAATGCCTTCGGATAAACCATTCGCCGTAGCTGTTCGTTTGCTTTCACCGTGCTCGTTCGTTAGACTTATGCTATTGTTTGAAGATGGCGTAGTTTCGTTCAGACTTGGGACATCAGTTACATTGATGGCTGTTGGAGATGGTTCGTCTGATTTAATGAGATTTTTAACCGTGTCAATTTCTGGTTTCGGTTCTTCTATTCTGGAAGCTTGTATATTTAGAACATGGTTTTCATTGTTTTTCATTTCAACGGGTGCATCCACCTCCATATTTTCTGTCTTTTCCGGAGGCATATCTCTTTCGCTCTGTACGTTTGACATCATTTCAATACCTTCCATACCACCATCATTACCATTCAACGTTTCATCTTCAACGTTGGTATGTTGGTGAGATTTATTGTCGTTTCCATCCAAAGATTGGGCCGGCTGACACTTTGATTTTTTCTCAACTTTATCTTCTAGATCCGGGTGTACTTCAACAATCTCTGGTTTTGGTTGTGGCTCTGGTTTTGACTCTAGCACGTGCTGATTATCAACACGAATCGGCAGCGATCCTTTGTTGTTCATCTCGTCGATTTTCTCGGAAGGATCATCATTTTTCAGTATTTTCTTCGGCGAATTTATTTCCATCTTTGGCTTAACAACCTCTGGCTTCGGTTTGACATTGTGTAATGTGGGTAGGATCTGAGATTCAGCCATGTTTTGACTAACTTCTTCATTGTGACTCTTCATCTCATCATCATGTTGAGCATCATACTCATCGATTTCTCCTTCTTCCAATCCATTATCACCATTCACATCAACCCAATTTGTGTTGATTGGCTTTTCATCAGTACTATTTTCCTTTTTGGCATCATCTTTCGAATAGTCAACGGGGACGGCACAATGATTTAGACTCTCCTTCTCTTTTACTTTTTCTTCTTTTACTTTAAGCATTTTGTCCGGTTCAGATTTGGCCTTTGATGAACGCCGCTTTGATATGTCCTCATCAGTTTTGCGTTTGCTATAGTGTTTTTCCACCAGTTCGGGCTTAGTTGTGGATCGCTTTGGGCTTTGACACCGTGTTGATCGTTTCGGGCTTTGACTCTCTTTGCTACCGTTTCTCGCTCGCTGAAAAGAAAATGAAAATTTTTTGTAAAAAGACTGTCAACGATTTAAAAAAAGACCCAAAATAATTATTGAATCATTTGAAAATGTTTCGAGTATTTCAAACCAAATTCAAGTCTCTGAGGAACCAACATCTTTTAGAATTTGTTTGTAATTCAAAAAAGCCACATTTGGTTCCGATCAAAAATCAATGCAATACCTGATTGCGCGATATTTTCTCCGGTGAGTTTCGCTCATGATTGTTGCGATCTCGTCGCCGTTGTTGTTCACGGCTTCGACTCCGCCGTGCTCTTTTGCGATCCTTTGATGCGCTCCGAGATCGTCTTCGTTTTGAGCGTTCAACATTGGATTGTTCCCGTCGTTCATCGTCTCTACTTCGTTGAGTGGCCGATTTCCCGCGCAAATTGTATTCATCCTGATGCCGTGTCTGTGGCGGCGTGGGCTGATGTCGATGGTTTCCATTCTTTTCAGCAAAACATTCTCTGGACTTATGATTTGACTTGTTTTCGATATCATTCTCCTTCGACTTGGCAAATGGATTGCTAGCTTGATTCTCATCACGTCGATGATTTTGTTCGATCAACCTTTCTTTTGGCGCATCATCGACCCGTTTCAGTTCATACACTACGAATGGTTTACACGTGATTTGTGACTGCGTACCAAAATTATGTATTTGAACATTTTTATGGAGCTTGTCTCTACGCCGGAATAAAATATTATCCTTTCTGAAAACAATAAATAGATTAATGGTTGGCTCAAAGTTAAATCTATTTTCAGAAGTCTTTACTTACTCTTTGCGTAGCTCATGGATTTCTTGTTCTCTTCGCTTCAGTTCGGCCTTAGCTGTAATCAACAAACTACTGCTGTTCCGCTCTAATGTTCCCTCAACTTTTTGATGATTCACAATTTGTTCTTTCAAGTTGGCGTTCTCCTCTTGCAATCTTTTGATCACCTCCTGCGCTTCCGTCAGTTTCTCACGTATCTCCGAGTAATCGGCATTCTTTTGCAATGGAAAATTAATCAAATGGTTATTAATGCCAATTGCGGCATATTATCAAAACACAATATCAAAAATGAAATATTTACCTTTTCCCGCTGTTTTTCATTGCTTTCGAAAACATCCAAGTCCTCGTATATATCAAACTCATTACTATCGTCCATAATTTAGCCCGGAACGTTAATTTGAATCGAACAAACGCCAAAATTAATTTAAAATCCAATGCATCTGATGCATCGCAATTCTATTATCGTGAAGCTAATGTTAAACAGTGTTTTTGGCACAAACGTCAAAACAACCACTTATATGTTGCTACCAATTGCCACATAAGCCCATTCAACGACATCTAGCGGTATTTATTGCGTATGTGGCGGCGCTGATGCTATTTTGCTTATTATTGAAAAATTAAAAAGAATTTACGAATGAATAATGAACAAGAAAATACAATTGAGTATCAAGTATTCAAGTATTTAGAGCCACTTCGAAGAAAATATACGGGATTGTAGGGCTGGCGTCAAAGTGTACCGACTACATCTGTACCAGTCCATTTAAATAATTCCATAATATTACTTTTTCCACTTTCGAATCGATCAACAAAATCGAATTAAACTTACCTCGATAAAAATTAGAGTGCAACCAGTCCAATTAATGTCTCGAATGGCTAAAATTGTTCAATGATTTTCAACTTGACACATTTCTTTAAACGATTTTTTTTTTATTATTTTTGCAAATGTACTTAAGAATTTATTCTCTTAACCGCTAGAATAGAAGATAAATAAAACGTATATGATTGAAAGATGTTTTGTTCATATCAGATAGTTTAAACGATAGCCTAAAAATCTTGAAATGATACATGTTTAATTTCTAAAAATTCACGTAATTCAACCGATAATGTTAAAGATCGAAAAATTATACAAGTCTCGATGGTTCTGCATTGATCCGATTAGTAAAATGCAGAAGGATGGAAGGAAAATAAAGCAATATAATAATCACTGACAATTACATTTAGTTTTGCAATGCATCATAATTTTTCTGTATTTACAATATTTATACTGTTCTCTCTTCTCTTCGTCGTTTAGTAACTTAAGCCATTTATCGAAGCGTTCATAAGGGTACTACTAAACATACAGCTTTTTTTCATGTTCTATTGTTGTTTTATTTTTTCAAAATGAAATCATAACATTTTTCACTGGATTTTTCTCAATATTTTTCTTTTCATATGCACAAACAATCAATTTAATCATATTTCGAATTCGTTACATTTTTTTTGTTTCATTTTAAATGTTTTTAATTACTCTTAACAGAAAAATCAATTGAACTCACGTATTTATGTGTGATTTTCTTGTGGATTTTTTTTTTCTTTCACATTACGCCAACATGATTAACGGAAAACTCTTGCTCTACAGGTAAAAATCAATTTCATTTGCATATTACAATATATTTTAAGAAATGGGTAATCGTTTGGTGAAATGCTGCAATAACTAAAGATGTATAGTACTCTTTAGAATTTGCCTTTGGTATGAGCAATCGCATTTATTTAAATTCCATAGCAAAATGATCATACAAAATCAAAAGAACATATACACGTTTAAGAGTTGAAAAACAAAATGGATATGACAGCTATCGGAAAACACTTTTCTGAATCTAATAATTTGATTTTTGGTTTTGCGATCTGAAATTAATACAATGATTTTTTTTGTTTGCTAAAATCTATCGTCTCTATCCAGGGGATTTTTGTTTAAATTATTCGAATGCATTTTTTTTCACGGTATTGGCCGGCTGGGTTTGAGCCGGCTCTTTCTACAATTTTGATAAATCGATGGTGTATTGGATCGAAGTTTTGTTATTCATGAATCGCTACTACACACGGCACGTGTCTTCATCAAGAGTTGGAAGTACCGTTCTCCATTGTGATTCAAAAATGATATTTTAGACAAATTCATTCCATCAAGTTTGTTGTAGACTTCTATTTGAACTTCATTCATTTTGCAGTTGTGTGTTTTTATAGACTAAGACTCTGACTCTACAGCTTTAAAGGATCAATTTATTGAATCATCTGGCATTTCTTACAATTGTTGCACAGTGGAAAATAAAATTACGGTATCATTGTCTGACGATTTTTTTTATATTGGATCTTTTTTTCACATTTTCATTCAAAGCTTCTATTTCGTTGAAGTTGCAACCGATAAAACAAATATAGTGAACCCAATGGCAACTGCACAGAAAACGAATATGTTTAAGTTTCTTACGCCTTTTTTCATCCATCTGCCTATCTGTTTTCTGTACATGTGTCGGTACCTATTCGAACACGAGGTTTCCTGGTTGACTCTGCCGGTCAACTGATGGGACTCTTTAACAATCCGATGTTTGATTGTTGACCGCTTGATTTGATCTGGACACCGATTCTCCGAGCCATGAATCTGGACTGGGTGGAAAATCTGGATAGCCATGTGTTGGACTTTCCGAATCATTACTCAAATCTGACATTCCACTACTACGCATTCCTCTCATATTATTACCGCCCTGATCTGAGAAAAAGAATGAAATACAACGTTTAAAGATTTACATTTACATCGAAAATGGAAGTTATATATTCTGAACGTTTTTTTTTCAATCTTGACATTCCTTTCTGCTTTACAATTTGTGATGATGAAAATATACAAACAATCAATCGTTTTCTGCAACTGAGATTTTTGCCACCGTCAAATTTCGTCTCTCTCACACACTAAAGGATTGTTTTCCTAAATACACGATTTAAATCGTTCACGATTGGACGACAATCCTATTTCCCTAGGATAACGATTTCACGAACGATCATCGACGATTCTCATTTCTATTTTCTTAGAAGGACGATTAGATGGTCAATCGTCGACGATTACAGTCGCCTTCCTAGGAAAACAAACCTAACCGCTCTTTCATCTCGTAAAGTTCTTGTAAATGTCCTAGTTATCATTGGGTACATGATTTTGTGCCAGAACGGATATCCGTTTTCCGTACGGAAACGGAAACGGAAAGGCATACGGAAAACGGAACGGAATAAAACGGAACCGAAACGGAAATTTTTTCCTCGTGTAGAAAACGGAATTTGTACTACTTTTTCATAAAAGTTGCACATGGTGGTTCACATTTTGTTATGTATGAGTGATTCTTTCAATTTTTCCATACGGAAACGGAAAAGAGTTTGAAATTGGAACGGAAACGGAAACCGAAACGGAAAAGAGCACAAAAATGGAATGGAATTTCAACCGAACGGAAAACGGAATTATGTACCCAAAATAAGCCAGTACAATTTTCCATATCTTGCTTCGTTGCCGAGCTATGCCCCGAATAATAACCACCTTGTATGTGTCATTTTTTCTCCTTATAATGTACTGCAAAAAGGGTCACTGTCATCACTTCCACAGATTAGAAATATTAACCGTTCAGGGACAAATAATTTTGTTTATTTGTGAAAGTACAAGTAAACCCCGCGTGCCATCCTCCACTTGAATCGGTTTTACATTGAAGGGCGCTGCACGCACCTTAACATTCATAATACAAATTTAATGCGAGTGGAGGCGCCCTATGAAAAATGGCACAGATTGCTCGTGCTACGGTTAACTCGTACTTTTTTTTCATGACTCACAAATACTGATGCAAATAGTTATCCGTATCGGTGAAAGTGTTCGATTATAAGGATCGCAGTTACGGATAAAAATCTTTATCTGCACAATATAAAGTTTCAGAATTATAACGAAATTTTGTATTATAATCACCTTATAAAGCAAAACAGAGAAATACTCCGTGCGTTTTGTTGACGATTTAAGCAAAGTACACATAGAATAAGACTAAGGAAATAAGCACAGACAGCACTATTGGATAACCCTTGTCCAATTTTCAGTCAATATATCAATCCATCCATATTTTCTGACAACTTCACTCATATTGTCTTATTTTTGGCCAATCCTACTACTATTATACATACTATTATATGTAGGCGGCTCCATTTTTTTCTGTTTCAGAGAATATTTCAAAATTTGAAATTCTGAAGGCACCAAATAAAATCTTGCTGCCTTCTAATGGTTTTGAACATTTTTTGAGCATTCAAATTGAATGCATATGGACTTATACGAACAAAAGCATCATGACATGGCGGTTTATTTAATGCAATCCACACACACACACTGTGATTTCGGTTACAGCCCAAGAACCAAACACCTTGTAAACGACTTTTCACTTTATTCTGTTCTGAAAAAACATCAGTTTTCGTCAATTTTTATGGTTGCTAGGATGCATGGCAGTAGTGATGGTTTCGAACGTTCGTTCGTTCGTTCGACAATTTGAAAAAAAAAAAAATTTTGTTCGTTCGTTCGTTCGACAATTTTAAAAAATATTTTTTTGTTCGTTCGTTCGTTCGACATTCATTTTGCTCGATGTTCGGTCCGAACAAAGTTTTTTTTATTTCAAAATCTCCCGAATAAAATTGCTATTTTATATTGGAATATATGATTCCATGTGTTGTTGTGTCGTGTTCGGGTGACAGACGTTTAATAATCTTGAGATTCAAACGTGGTTAACACGTGCATATGTTTTCCTCTCATTTCTGCGTGAGTTTGACGTTTAAAAAACTTTAAAGTTTACTAACTTTTAAGTTTTTCAAACTATGGACTCGCACGTTGTTAATATGTACAACATATCTATAGGTGAGATTGAGAGTAGTGTATGTTTCACTGACTTTGTTATGAAAGAGAAGAGTAAGTTTCTTTCGACTTAAAAATGGTTAAAGGAGAGTATGTTCATTTTTGGCGGGTCGTCACGGTTTTTTACTCGAGGTCCTCTATAACTTAGCTGAAGACTACGAAAGTTGCGCCTTGCCTCATAGATTGGCACATAGTGTTGGCCTTCTATGTTGACCCAGTTTGAAGGGCAGAGGTCAAAAAGTGAAAAAAGTACAAAAACCACCCCAAAGTGGGTAAACCTCACTCCTCAACCCCAAATCAATTGCAGTTTTGGATTCCTCGTCGAAAATGAGCTATACCTCCCGAACATCAGTTTTTGATAAAACCCCTCACTGTGGCTTAAATCATCTCTGAATAGTGCGCATTAAGAAAACAAGAACGTACAGGTTTTGGCAACGTGGCTTCACTAGTGATTATGAATGAACGTAGTTCCTCGTTACATTTCTCATTACGTTCATTCATTATCGCTATAATGCAACGTTGCCGAAACCTGTACGTTCTTTTTTTCTTACTGCGCACTACTTTTCTACGGTGAAGCAGACTGCTGTGTTATGTTTCATTCTTACGGATTTCTTTTCCATGTTCCATTTTAATGGATTGCTTTATTTTTGTTTCGTATCTATGTATTGAGCGACGAAAGTCTCATGTTCATTTCAACCGCATCATATGTTGTACATATTAACAACGTGCGAGTCCATTGTTTGAAAAACTTAAAAGTTGATAAACTTGAAAGCTTTTCAAACGTCAAACTCACGCAGAAATGAGAGGAAAACATATGCACGTGTTAACCACGTTTGAATCTCAAGATTATTAAACGTCTGTCACTCGAACACGACACAACAACACATGGAATCATATATTCCGTATGCGACTCCATTTTTTTTCGTTTCAGATAATATTTCAAAATTTAAAATTCTGAAGGAACCGAAGAAAATCTTGCCTCCAACTAATGGTTTTGAACGTTTTTTGAGTAATATTTTAGAAATTGTAGTTTGCTACCGATTCAGCCAATAACATTGAAAATTGGCTGCCATGCATCTTAGAAATGTCGTTTTATCTATAGGGAGCAAAGCATCAGAGTTTACCATTAATTCACACTTATTTTTATTAGAGAACAAAATTGGCTGAGATTCTTTTGAACTTTCATTCCAGCAAACAGTCATTGGCGAATTAAAAATTGTAGCGAATATTTCCATAAAAAGCATTGAAATAAATTTCTCGTTTGTATATTTTTACAATAATTTTTCACCTGTAGGTATTATATATGTGAAACGTGGAAATTCAAAAAATGCTTGGGATCTGTGATATTTGCTCAAATATATTCATGACTTTTAGTTGTATTTGCTAACTATTCACGCAATATTCAAATTGGGATTTTCCCGTAGCGTTCAATACACAACTAATAATCTTTGTCATTTCGGAAAACTGATTTAGCTAAATTTCCGTGAAACTGATTTAATATGAAAATTCCAATTTAAAATACCTAATCGAAATAAAATCACATTCAATTCATTTCACTAGTCAAAGAGCAACATTTGAAGTTTCTTTTGAGCGTGCTGCCATTTATCCGACGGAAGGTACGAAGAGATAAATCTGCGTGGATCTTCCGTCGGATGATTCCACTAACTTACGCCGGAAATTCAACCCATATTCATTTCAAACTTAATTCGTATTTACCAAAAATCAAAAATAGTTTATTTTCAACGCTCTTCATAATGGGTATGTTTAGATTTCAAAAAGCCATTTACGGTAATAATTTTGCCCAACCAAAATGTAGAACGCAAAACATAAATGTTAAAATCAAAAACAAAAAGAACAACAAATCAACCAAACTAAAGTTGAAACTACCGGAGCGTAAGTGGATTTGAGATCATTAAAAGTGTATTGTAACTTTATAAAATTTCAAAATAAAACCTATTCATGAAGTTCAGCTGTCTTTATCAATGTTTTTATGTGTGTTTCTATTCGGATCCATGCTGTACATATTTATCATAAGCATATGTCTAAGTTAGAGCATGGAGCCAATTAGATAAACATTTATAGTTTAGATTTTATTTATTGCGAATCTAGTTTTTGCAGATATAATATAAATGCTTAAAAATTATTTATCTAGCGAGAAAAAATGAAGATGTACGATATACAAGTATGATACATAAGCACATCATACACGAATTCGCATAATTGTTTAAAAAGCATTGCATTTTTGCAAAATGAAAATATTAGATTAACTTGCTATTTCAGTTCTACTACGTAAAAACTTTGCCAAAGTTTGTTTTCTCTTTCTCTTTCTCTCTCTCTATCTCCCTTTTTCTCTCACTCATCTTCATGGGGTTATTGAACATTTCCGTGCATTTTTTACTCAACCAAATTGTTCGTTTGGTATGCATAGAGAATGAGAAAAAAATGGTATTCTTTGTTTTCGTATCCAGACGAATTTTATTTATGTTGTTTTCCCGATGATATGTTCGGGATTTTAACACTTGGTTCATTCGCATATATTCGTACGGCAATATATTTAAATTTATGTGATGCATTTTCAGCAGCCAACAATGTATTCATTTTATTGCCATTTCGAAATGTACAGCCATTTTATTTTGCCAGAGCAGCGATCTACACGAAAGTGATGAACATTTCCAGCAGTTGTGGGTATTTTATGTATTTATCAACGGAACGCGTTTATTTTTATTTTCTCTTCTCTTTTCTTCAGTTTCGGTTCGTTTTTTTCCCCTGGTATTGTTACTTTTTGTTTATTTATAACTATAAGCTGAATGAATTCATACCGAATAAAAAAAAAGCGAAAACAAAGTACCATGTTATGTAGAACAGTGAATGGTCTTGCCAACGGAATAGACGGGGAGTAATAACATGTTCATGTTTTACCATTTGTATGTACCAGGCATGAAATGTTCTTGTTCTGTTGCTTGGTCAATTTTTCTTTGCAAATTCAATACACTCGCTTCTCACTCACACTCACACTTTCCACTCTCTATCTCTGGCTCTCTTGGGCTGTGGGATGCATTATGTAAGACTACCGAGAGTCGTTGTGTTTGGGAAAAATGGTGAATATTCTTGTATGATGTATTGGAATAAAATAAATGAAAATACCACCCAAACGATGAAAAATTTATTTTTCTCAAAGTGGGCGGCGGTAAAAGAGTAAACATACTCAGAATACTCGATTTCCATTCTCCCTCTCACTCGTTATGTTTGTGTTTCGTCCTTGTACTGTGTTGTATTCGGTATCGTTGTCAGTTTTCCACAAACAGTGGAAACACTCATACACACACCAACCATGCAATGTAATGACGGAAGCCAACACATACTCTCGCATACACGACGAACCATGGCTTTGCGCACCACCATACACATCGTTTTTTTCCATTCGTCTACGCTTTTGGAAAAGTAACCGAGACTTTCTTGCTCTCTCTCTCTCTCTCTCTCTCTCTCTCTCTCTCTCTCTCTCTCTCCATTTTTCTCTGTGTGTATTCGGAACGAGCAATTGATTTTAAGTGAAAAATGCATGCTATTTTTCATAGACGACTACAAAGATATTTTAGCCATCTCAAAAATTGAATATCTCGGCAAATGTATCCCTTTTTCAACGAAACATTCATTTTACATGCTGTCACTTTTATGTACACTTTCGACACACAGCGATGACTCGTATAAATACCGCACTCGCCTATTATGTATAGATTCGATCTGTCGAAATGTTACGATGAAATTCATCGAGTACATAGAGATTTAACGGGCGTAAAATGGCAAGAGAGAAAGAGAGAGTGAAAGAGTAGTACAAGAAAAGAAGTTTGAAAGCCCATATTCTGCTAACGCATTGAACTTATACGTATCGATTTTTTTTTTACTTTTCGCTTTTACTCCATGACAGAATATGGCTTGAAAGATATGTTCGCCTCGTTTTCGTATGCTGAAAACATTTTGCAAAATATAAACGACAGCTTTTCTTTCACATAATTTTTATTTCAACATAATAAAAAATGGACCATTGTTTTCGATGCCAACATCTTTGCTACTGCTGACGCTTTTTTCCCTGAACGTTGGCATGTTTCAGGGATATCATTTTTTTTGCTTTCACGCTTAATATGTTTTTATTGCATATTCCATTTCGCGTTATTTGAGTCTGTTACGCACACATTACACGATCCTCATTTCACTTTTGTGAAAAAGTGCATCTGCCACAGTGTGTATGTGTTTGTTTTATTCACATTTGGCAAAAACGAGCTTTTGCATCATAAAAATTGCGCTCACTCTCTCTTTTCGGAACGAGCCTGAACCATATTCTGAACGCAACCGTACAAAAGAACGGCGAAACTGATTGAATTATGAAATACATCTCGTTCACTATGACGGTATCGCGTACATAAACAAGGCAATATGACAGACTATGCGAGTGAGACAGAATTCGACAGTTCAGAGCTTGAAGTTTCGTTGTTGTTATTTGGGTTTTATTTTCTTCAGAGGAAGAAATAATCCAAGCAAACAATTAGAAGGAAAAAATAGAGTCAACAACAAAAAAACGTCAGAAATATTAGCAAAATGAAAAGACTAACTTCAAAAACGAAATGATTTGGGATATTGATGTTACACGGCAACATAAAAAAATGGATGCATGCGACTGGTGGACTGGAGTACGTACAATTATAAGCAACTCGAGTCGTATTCGAAGAAAAATAGGAAGAAAAAGTAAGTTGCATTCAAGAGTGACTGTCTCTTTAGCTTTCAAATATGATTCCAATTCCTCCGAAAGGGAATTCCTTTTCGTTTGACTCTCCATGAAATTCAAACACAAATCCAAAGTCTATTGAAATCCAAAGGAACCACCGAAATACCCGACCAACTGTCCGTGGTTTTGTCGATTAATAATGCAAAAATGTAAATGTTGAGTCAAAAGACAGGTCGCACAATTCCACCGTGCAAAAATATACAGAGTTGTGAGTTAGTCTGATACAAATTTTATGCTGAAGACCGAATTCTATCATTCATTCATTTGAAACTAAACATATACCTTTTTTTGTTAAGCAGAAAGAGCACACACATGACATTAGCTATTCATTTTATGTAAAATGTCATGTTTTGTATGTACTTACCGATTGAAGTATAAACAATATTGTCTGGATATGATTTGAATGAGTGTCCCGATCCCATTGGCGGAGGTGAATAGCTGGATAAATATGGCGGTGAATTTCCACTTCCATGCAAATAAGAAGACACACGACCACCACTTTGTGGAGAGGTGCCATCTTCTAAGCCCATCGTTACCGTACTGTAGCTATCATTACTTAGATCTGAAAGAGAATGAGAAAACGAAACATCGGAAAATAGCATACAATATGTGATGAACTCCGGGAACTTTGCTTGTTTGGCCTTTTTCGCAAAGAAAACGGAGAATAAATAGCAAGGCCCTCAATCAGAGAAGCAGCAGAACTTATTTGAACATTACACTGATGATGTCGAATATTGCAGACACAACAGTATAATCACTCCTGTTCTTTTCAACATTTTTATGTACATAGAAAATGCTAGAACATTAACTCTTTTCGAATCAACCAAAGCTCCTTTTGATGAAAAAAATACTTTGCCGTAAGTTTACGGACAAGAATCTTGAACCGAAGAAAATATATATACCGTTGTCGATTGCTATTGTGGATTTTAAAGTCAAGCATGATCAACGAAGCGATTCCAAAACGAGAATACGATTTCTAAACGAGCTTAGTCTGAAGACATCGATACGTGTGTATGTGAACGTCCAAAATTCTAATGACAGCTTCAAGCTTTTAACTTAGGTTTTTATGTCAAATCTTCCCAAATATATTACTATACCTACACTGTCAAAACTTTTCAACATTTTTGTGTTGGTATTTCTGGTAATATACGGAATTCACGGTAATCCGTGAATTTCATACTATATTACCGGATCTCCGTCAACGCAGACGTGCTGTGTGTGTATGTATTCTAACGGAGATCCGGCAATATACTATTAAATTCACGGATTACCGTGAATTCCGTATATTACCAGAAATACCAACACAAAAATGTTGAAAAGTTTTGACAGTGTATAATTGATTTTTGTCGAAGTTAAACCGACTCTTTAGGCATTGATTTTGAATTTTAATCTGTATATTCAATTTGGTAGTAATTCAGTTACGAAAAATGAGAATTAATACGTGAATGATATCAAGAATTAAGTTTGAGTTTTCGGCTGAAGATGAGTGCTATGGGAAGACGCACATCGCTGTTAATATATTAGGTTTTTGCGCTCGCAAATTTGCTGTTCGCCTTTTGACTAAAATTTTCAGTGTTTGTGTTCTGCGCACAGGTTTTGTAGGAAAGGTTTTTCTTCTCAGGCCGTCAAATTAGAGCATACCCGGAATTCAAAAGTGCAATTTTTTTGGCTTATTTCGTCTGTTTGGTTTGCAAACAAACGTTTTTGGATGGCTCAGCATCTTAGCTTTTCGTATGCAGCGAATATATCCCAGCATATCGACGACGCAAGTCACTGTATAAGTGGCGTACCTTGATGTGCACAGCTACATCGATTACACACAAACAGAGAGCGCAGTGAGATGCTGAGCCATCCAAAAACGTATGTTTGTTGGTTTGCATTGTAACAAAATGAACACTCACCGTGGCTAAAACTATCTAGATCCACTTTCAGTTCATCTTTGTCGAGTAATTTATCTAAACGAGGCGAACTACCACCTTTCATCGAACGGAAATATTGACTCCACCGTGTGCGTCCGGCGTCTTTTTTCAATCGTTTTTCTTTCGCCCGTCTGTTGAAAATAAAAAAAATTAAGGCCATAAGTATAAAAAAAAATCGAGACTATTTTTACAAAAATTTGAAGAGAAAAATTGATCTGGCGCGATGATTTGTGATAAAAAATAAGTTCATAGAAAACCCATTTCGAGGTAAAAGCTTACCTATTCTGGAACCATACTTGCACCACTCGCATATCTAGACCCGTATCTTGTGACAGCTGCTCACGAACATGGCGAGCTGGTTTTGGACTATTATTGTATGCCGTTTTCAAGGTTTCTAATTGTTTAGCCGTAATTGTTGTTCGAGGTCGTTTATTCGGATGATCACCGTCTAACGAGCCATCTATATATAAACCTGTGTGATGAGTGATCGAGTGAGTGAGTGAGTGAGTGCATGATAGCAAACGGTGTGTTTATCAAACGATTTTCCGTACCCATATCCGTACCTTTTGATTTAGCCGTTTCATAATCCGGTTTACAAACTAATTTTCTGTCTTCCATCAAATAAAATTCATCGCCAGTGTTTAGCTGGCGCGAACAAATCGTGCAAGAAAAACACTGCAGATGATAGACATAATCTTGGGTTTTCCGCACAACTTGCGTTGGCGGTATCCCTAAGTCACATCCAGCACATTTGGTTCCATAACGCCTGCGAAGAAACCGAATTACCATCATTTTCATTGAGAGAAAAAGAAAACACACTTTTTTTTTATATTTTTCTACCTTTTCTTCTAGCTCAATCGGTCAAATAAAACAGTTTGCTTTATCTCGCGATCGAACTGAATCAATTTTTGTCTATATTTTATAGCTTTTCACTTACTTGAAAAAATCCTCTTTACAAAATAATGCTCCATTTCGGGCAAAACATTTTTCGTTCAGCTGAACATGGCATTCACTACACTGCAAGCACTTTGCATGCCACGTTCTTTCCAAAACTTTCAATATAAACCGATCTAGAATGAGTTCATGACATCCACCACATCTTGGAATTGTAGCTGCAAACCAAAAACAATTATATTCCATTTGCTATTCGATGAAGAAAAAGGTTCTATTTCAATGTTGAGGTATCAATTTCCTTCGATTCCTTTAACACGTTGATGGACTTTTTAAAACGTTTGAATATATATGAGAAGAAAAGGATCCATTTGTCGTAGAAGATGAATATCGGACAACAATATGAGCAACGAGAAATAATATAGAAACGCAAACAAATCAGAATGAAATCAAAATTTCCATTTTTCCGCGCAACACCTCAGTTAGCCCAGAATTCTCGAATATGCCGGTATATCCGAGGCCAAAAGTGATCTCATCTCTCTTTTCTATTTAAAAAAAAAATGGGAATATACCGGAAAAAGTTCATCTAATGTACCAGAGACTGAGATTTTCAGGATCTTCTTCTTCTTCTTCTTCTTCTTATTGTGAAATTCAATTTTATTTCAAAAACGCTATGTGGCTTTTAAAAAAAATTAAGAAGAAGGAGAAGATCCCGAAAATTTCAGTCTCTGTAATGTATTAAAAACTCGGATGCACTGCGGATATACTGATGGCGTATATTTAATATACCAATTTTGATACATCACACACGCTGTTGTGCTAGCTGAGACTCGGCGGTATGAGAAGGTTCGGAACCATGTCAATCTTTTTATTATTCTTGATTATCTTTTAGCTAATGACAGCTAATGACTGCACAGTTGACGTAAATGTACAAACGAATGACATTAATTTGGACTAAGCGAGCAGTACAATGTAACGGTATGAATGTTTCTATTCCAATATAAATGCAAAACTAATCGATGAAGTTACAGTTTGCAAGTTTTCTCACAATTTTGAAACTCTTACATTTGCAGAATCAGATTGAAATGACTGATGGTGATATCGTCAGTTCAATGTTCAGCGTATCGACGACAGAAAATCCAAAATCATTATGTCATCCAAATGATTGTTCTCTTTTTGTCAGAAAAGTTGTTTGATCATCGTTATTTCAAAAATAAAAACTTTGCAGAAACAACATAAACATCAGATCATTAGGCTTTATTTGGTTGAGGACTTTGATATGATGAAAGGTTTCATTGAACATCGATCATATATCAAAGTTTTCCCGAATGAAAGAAATTAAAAGCTCTATGCAGAGTTTATCTACAGATGAAAGAGCTGGAGTAGCAAAGGTCGTCATCATTTTTATTTTCCCTTTGAATGCCATTGAAACACAATAAAAGCTTTGCTACTGTATCAGCTGTTCCGTAATACTTTTGTTCATTTACTAGCCATAACTATTTTACTTCGTCTAAACAATCTTTTTTACAACTAATTTTATGCCAAATACATAATTGGTGCTCAATCAACTTTTGTTGACCAAACAAATCTGTCGGCAGGTAAGTGCTGTTTTGACTTGATTAAAGTTTCAATTGTTTCTTTTATTACATAAGAAAATGCTTCCGCAAATTTATATCGAATGCATTCATAGAATGCAAGAATCTTATTTTTTGTAAAAATAAGTTTCTATACAAATTATTCTGTCTCTAGTAAAATATCTTGACAAAATAAAAAATAAAATCATATAACCTACATCCCAGTCAATGAATTGCATCCAAAAATATGTTTCATTTAATAATTGGAAGGTGTTGTGATCACGTGGTGTTCGATTCGTTAAAGTCGTTCGAAGAAAACGTTCCATCCACCTGCGACATCGTCATTAAATGCCATTGTTTTAATTAACATGTGACTGAATGGTTGAGATTCAAGTCAATGGATTCAGGTTATTCATTATATATTCATGGTGATGTTGTTTTCTACCCTCATGTATACACAGATGTGTACCCCAATCTCAGCCGCTATGAAGTTTACTCCACCAATTAACCAATTATTGTTGGCTATTAACTTTTCTTATCGTTCAAAATCCCTGTCGGAAATGTGATTTTATACGTATTTTTCTTCTTTGCATTGGTATACCGACGCAAATAAATCAACAATTTTTAATTATATCCAACGAAATAGTACCCAAACTAAAGCAAAACCATATTTAAAAACGTCATTTCGTACAAATCGGCTCTCTTCAAAGTAGATTCAGCTCGTTAATTGATCTTCATCATCAGCCAAATGATAAACAATTTATACTATAAATCAGGGACTTTTGGAAACTTCCTCTTTAACAAAATAAAAACCAGCTAGAAGCTTAACTGTGTTTGATCAAATAAAAATTAGTTTCAGAATGTGAAGAAGAGTAAGATCTCGAAAATGGTCTTGCCTTGATATATCAGATCTTTCTCGGATAGTATGGTGATCTATTTCGAAATATTGATAAAAAATAATCTAAAGCAAAGCACGTGCTAATTAAAATACAAGCACATTCTAACCATTTCATCTTAATTTTGAATTAGTTCGTTTGTTATTTTTAGGTTAGAAATTCTAACCTATAGGTAAGCCTAATTTACAGTTTGCCGTTTTGACATACAAAACAATTAACGAGCCATTATTTTGGATGCGAAAATCGTGTGGTGCATACCAATTTTTACTTTTCCACACGACTATTTCGTGTAAGAAAAGTATTGCGATAGCCCCAGATTTTTTGACCTATTGAAATCAGTTTTTTTCCGATTTCTGAACGCCGAACATCGTGAAATCTAACGTTATTTATAGACTAAGAGCCAGTGATGGTAGACTATCACCTCATAAAATTCCTGGATCATAGTACTAATAAAAT